AACGTATTATCAACCGGTTTGTGAACAAATATTTGACACTGACCAGCATTATTTTCTATCACACTGTTTCCACGAAGTCATTCTGCATTTAGTACATTTCACCAGGCAGTTCTTGATTTATTATTTTTGAATTGCAGTTATTTTGGCAATTCTCTTTCTAGAGTATCGAATTGGGAACCATTCAGTGAGCGCTGTTAAAATGACAGCCGCAATTTGCACACCGTTCTGCTTGCATATTACCGTAACCGTTAAGGGCAATCTGGTTTTACCAACGTCCTAGAGAAAAAACCCCTACTTTTGACGTTGATGTTTGATGAGGTTAAGCTTGCGCACACGGTCCGTGTAACCGCGACCACGAGCGGGCCTGATATGCTGGCGTTTTCATTCACCTCTGACCTATTGCCCTTAGAACATCATCAACTGTCAGCCGGAAAGTACGCCGACATCAACTGGTATTGACAAGATGAAAGTTATCCCCTCCCTCGCATGAATTATTCAGAACTTGTAATAACCGCATGAGCCAGATGCCAATTGAACGCATCCAAAATCAAATCAAGCTATTGTCAATAACCATTACTTTATTCTTTCGCCAATAAATGGCAAAACAGTGACAAAATTAGTAAAAAAAAATGAGCGGAGAATATATACAATCAAACTGTCAATTTCAAAAGCGTCCAGTTATCCGAAAACAAAGTAGAGGCATACAAATTGTGCAATGCCGAGCACAGGGATGCAGTGGAAGTTACTCGTGCTGGATTGAGTCACACTCACTCTAACACAAGACGTGAGGAAACGAATTCCCGGTCTGTGTGACAAAATGAGCGGCTATGAAATTAGCTCAAGAACACTTGACCACTGATAGGTTGTTGGTGATCTAAGATAACTAAGATATAACTAAAGCCAAGTCCAATGCATAGTAATAGACTCCAGACTAGTCAGATTAATCTGGTTCAAACTAGTTGGTCGATTGGAGATTCAAAATCAAAGTTGAAAACTTCGATTAACTGCATATTGAACATAACCAAACAATTGACACATTTCTTATGATTATTTCGGATACGATCCACCCTTCACTACGTTGAATTCTAGCCTTCACTCAGTTAATTTGACACCCAGGATAGGCATCTCCTTCCACGCTTTGCTCAAACTCTATTCTCGTTCCAGGTAACATTTGGCCCCCACTAATCGTCTAAACCCAGATAATCCTCCTCCCTCTCCGTTTGGCTAATCATTCAGGCAGCTTATAAATCGAATATTCACGCTCACCTCCAAAATGTGAATTTCTACTGCTGCTAAATGTGTTACATGTTTGTAAGTTTGAACAAAAACGACGCATGAATCAGTTTCATCTCACATGTGTTTGTTCCCTCTGATTTGTGAGAGTACGCTAGATTATTTGTTTGTTTCAACAGTCGCCACAGCAATTATTGTGATCTGGTCTGGATAAATTGGGAGGTACTTTAATCCACTCGTGCAGTGCATAAACTCCGTCACGAACATTCGTTGTTCGGTTGAATGTATTGCGCGAAAACTCGATGAATTGCTTTCCATAATACGGGAACAAACCAGGGGTTCGGAGGCAAATTGAGTGCATTACTTTTATTATTTACTATTATTCGTTTACTTTTCTCTAACTGAGTAAACAAGTAGTTGCAGTTTGTTGCATTGTACGTTTTCCTCCCCTAGCGCAAGTGTGTAATGAAGGGAAACATTGAGCGATTGTTCAATGGAGACAACATTTTATTGACGTGTATATATCTCCGTGCCTGGTCAAAGGGAATTGATCGATTAATTCTAACATATTTTCGATTGTGTTAAAATCAACGGTTCTCAATGAATTCCATGGACTAATTTTTCTTTTACTGCTTTGTTTATATGCACCCCGATAAACCGTCTAACGATTATCCGAATGGGTACGAATCGATTGAGTTATCCCACTTTATGAGACCATCTTAGATTTGCGAAATCGGAGGGACCAAATACCAATTAGCCCAATCATTGAGGGGTTTGACCGAAAACAACTTCGTAGATTTCGTTTTAAATATGGTGTCACTGAATTTCATTCTGTGTTATTTCAATTGGTTTTCAGTAGTGATCAACAAATTTCAAATTGGGCATAAAATACAAAGCACAGTTTGCGTTTTTTTTGTTTTCTATATCGATTTTGTTGGCTGCGTTGCTATTTTATTGTTCTGTTCTGTCCCGGAACGCAAGTATTAAACGCTTTTTGTTAAAGTGGTTTTAGGGTCTCTTGGTATCGCGTGCATCAGCCTAACCGCAGTCTGATCGAGGTGCAAGTACTTAGGGGTTGGGTGGGGGGGTCCAGACTACCACCTTCGTCATACGCACTAAAGTAACATTATCTTAAACACGCGGTTTGAACAGTTCGGCATTCTTTGTTGTACTTACCCGCGTGTTATGCAACACACAGTCTTCGGATAAAACTGCAACCTGAACAAACAGAA